TTGTGCAGGATTTGTCAAAAGAAAGAGCTTACACTTTTTCTCAAATTGTATTTGCAGAGTAGTGAACTTTTTGAGTCATTCATGGATGAAACAATGCAATACTCCTGTGCAATTTTTAAGGTCAAGACTCCAGCTTCTATGGTTTTGCTTGTGCAATGTATGAGAAAAAGGAATCTCTTCCATAATTTTTGGGACTTTAACTTCTAACATGGTCATGGTCATGATCATTCCAATTTGTAGGCGGAAGATGAAGACCTGAAGGTTGCACAGCTAAGAAAAACCTCTTCTCTGATCGATAAAGTGAGAATTTATAAGTCTCATGGAATTCTTCCACTCCTTGCCATGGTTATTTGTTTCATTGTTTTCCTTTCTGACACATATAGGCAAGAATAGAGAAGGGGCATGAAGTTATTGAATTCGGAAGTGGGTGGGGATACTTTGCTATTGAAGTTGTCAGAAGAACCGGATGCAAATACACTGGCGTCACTCTATCAATGTGGTTCCATAAGAGAAGGTGTCAGATTTGCTACATTAGAAGGTTTGAGGTGATAACTCTATATAGTAGAGTTATCATAGATATTTTTGGAGCTTGAATTTTGCTAAGTCTTCTAATTTTTTTTATCCTTAAGTAGTTTTTAGTTTTTTTTTTTAGAAATAATTTAACTTATGTGATGTCAAATTTCATTTATACAAGTTTAGCTTAATTTCTTGTCAAAATCTCTCAATTCAGCCTCTGATTATTTAATCCCTTAATGTTGAAAAACATGCAAAGACTTGGAGCATGAATGCAAAGGAGGGTGTAAATGGACTTAAAAGTAATCAAACATGCTGAAGTGTTTAGAGAATAAATTAAGCCATAAAAGTTCGATCGAAGTGAATTTTGAACCAATGGAAAGCTGAAAGGACGAGTTATAACTTTGATATTCAGCACTTGGTCCAAATCAGAGCGAATCATGGTCGAAAATGAAGTTGAAAGTGAGAACCGTAGCAGCTCTGCACTATGCAATTTGAAGGAGAAAAATCATGGAAACAGAACCTCCAGCGTTGCAGCACCAAGTTTCTAGCGCTGCAGCGCTGTCTAGTGAAGCAAAGATGTCCAAGTCAAAGAGATTTTCGCTACAACGAGAATGCATTCTCGTTGCAGTGAGATATTGGGTAAATTAGGTCAGAAGGATTTTTGCTGTTGCGAAATTCCATTCTTGCTGTAGCGAAAATGAAGCTGTTTGCAATGTCAAGTCAGGAACAAATTCGCTACAGAAAAATTCTATTCTCGCTGTAGTGAGAACACGTCAGATAATGAATATTCTTGCACAGGTTTCTAAATCAAGCTGAAAAAAAGAAGAAGTATATATAGAAAGTTTTGCACTGAGAAAGAAGAGGATTTTGGAGAGACCATTTTGGGCAAAAGGAGGTAAGAACAAAAAGGCAAAAAGAAGAGGAATCAAGAGCTAAAGGATCAAAAAGTTGTAATAGATATTTTCTCACTCTAGATTTGATTTTCTCTCTCTAACTCTTTTTGTAGAATAATATTTTTGTTTGCTGAAATGTGTACTTTTCTTTTGAATATGTTGAGCTAGAGTTTTTAATCTAGGACTATGGTGGATGCTATTGTGTAGTTGAAATACTTTGGATTCATTCTTTATTTGCTTTTATGAGAATATTAATGTTTATTCAAATTTATGCTTATTATCTCATTTGTTGCTTGATCATCAGTAAGTTGAGTATGAGGCTTTTGATGATGCCTGAAAAGAACAATCTAAAAAGACTCAAATTTGAATAATATATGTTCATTCCATATTAAAAAATTAAGTGAGTGATTATTTAATAAAATAGACATATACCTATTAAATATGCATAATCAATATAGGTTTTAAACTTAATGAACTTAACTTTAGTTAATTTTTTATAGACATATAGATAGTTAATGAAGCTAGATAATTGTGTGATAATTCGATGGAGTATCATGCATGCTCAAAGAACCTAAACTAACATTGATTCTCATAAAAAATAAGTAATTAATTGATCTTGTATACTTATAAAACAATAGCTGAAACTATAGTCTTAAGCTTTAATTACATTGTCTCCTCACTATACATTTAACTTGTAATTCTTAAATTAAAATAAATTTTTAAAATAAATTTTATTTCAATTTTAACAATTTATTTTTTTTGTTGCTTTGATAAATCTTAACTGGTCACTGGTGCCGTGGGTATCTGAGTTGCAATAGCTTCTCCATTTTTCTTGTCTTCTCCTGGATCCTTTTCTTTCTGACAATGCGGGCGTTTGGTAAGCACTGAAGCTCCTTATATTCACAATTCTTTCAGAGGATGACAAACGTAGGTAACCTTAAAATATCATAAATGCAATTGGTCTGCCAAATATTCAATGATTTTCCTTTTAGCTTTTCGTGCAATCTTATTAATTTATCAATCAAAAGCTGTATAAAATATTTGTCATATTTACCAAGACTGAAGCCAACCTATGACTTCAAACAATTTCAATTTGCCTTTACCCAGTTAGCCTTTTGCCGCCTTCCAGCTACTTCTCTGGCATATTGGTATTTTTATAAAAAGAGCTATATAATAATAAAGAATGCAGATCCGGTGTACCAGGTTGCCTTCAGTCTGCTGCCGTGAACTTTTTTTTTTTTTTGAAATGCATTCATATAATTTCATTCCATTTGTGGGAATAGAACATTCCCCAAGGGTACAAACAGTCAACAAATCATAGCACTCAAAGCAGAAAAATTGGTTGGTGTCCCTTTGATTCCTATGGCATACCTTCCCAATATTTCCTCACATCGGTCCCTGCTCAGTACCCAGAAAAGAACGAAACCTACAGCTTTAGTACTCAAGATTACATCACAACAAGAAAACCCTCCCCTAAACCTGTACAATTCATCCCAGGGGCCTGAACAAAAATATACCCCATAACCTGTATACAAAATTCAGCTGACAAGATCATAAATCAGCATTAAGCAAAACCATCACTAAAGGGCCCCAAGAAAAATAAAAGACACTCAAAATCAAACAAGACAATCTCAAATCAAAAACCTCACATCACTATAAAGTTCTGTATTTGCTTGACTAACCTGGATCACCGGTGTCATTCCCATAGACTCTCAATACATCATCCTGCAGTTGTACTTCCTCCTTGGCCAATGAATACGCTCTTTGATTTGCGTCTCTCATCACATGCTTGACCTCCCATCCCACAAGTTTTTCCTTCATCCTCTCAATCTGAATCATCAATTCCCGCATTCTCCAAGGTGTACTGTCCGATTGACTTACCCGCTTAATAGCGTTTGAAGAGTCGCTTTCTATCGCTAGATTTTGGTCTTTCCTCCATCTTTACAACGCGAAGATTATAAAAGCTTCCCTTATTGCTAATATTTCAGCTAAATTTGAATCAGCTGATCCTATGAATTTGGAAAATATGACTTTGACTTCTCCTTTGTGGTTCCTTAGTATACCACCAATTCCTGCAAGCCCTAGGTATTCTCGTGCCGCCCCATCGACGTTAAACTTCATTTGGCCTTGTTGTTGCAGTTCCCATTCAACCCCCGTTCTTTCTTTGACTTTCTTTTTGGTTTGATTTAACGTTGGTAGCTGTCTATATTTGTCTAAAACTGATGAGAATTCTTTCAGCCATTTTGCATTCCCCCAAGCTGCTACTCTCAACCCTGCTGAATCCCGCTGTCCCCCTCCCTTCCTTCGAATACCACCTCATTCTTGCAGTTTCAAATTGTCCACACAGTCCCGAAATATGACATTTTCTACAACCTTCCGTCTTTCGTACCTACCTGGCAATCGTTCCAAGCTTCAAAGAATGTTCTTGTGTCTTTTGGTGAGCTCCATAAAACCCCCCATGCCTTGCACCAGCCCGTCCAAACTTTTCATGTTTCAAAACACTCAACGAATAGATGTTGACTTGTTTCCCTTTCACTGTTACACAGCACACATTGCATTGTATTTCCCAAAGGCACGCCTCTTTTTGTTAGTTCGTCTTTCACCGCAAGTTTACCATGGAGGAACTTTCATACGAATGCCTCCACTCTATATGGTGTTAGGTTTACCCGTACTTGTTTCCAAATACCATCTACATTATCATTAACAATCAGTGCATATTTACGAAAAGACTTGGCAACGTAAATTCCATTTGCTTCTCTTTTCTATACCAAGTCATCTGTTAATTCTTTGTTAATCTGGAACTCATGAAGGGCTTCCCTCAGATTCTCTCATTGCTCAATCCCTCATCTAAACAACTGTCTTCCGAGATGTATATTCCAGATTCAGTTTCTCCTTCCCATCAACCAAATTCAACGATTTTACTATTTTTATTTTGAGCTAACGCGAAAATTATGAGAAAAGCATTCTCTCCATCCTTTCATCTTATGAAAATTTTATATTTTCTCCATTGCCCACTACAAAATCTAGATTAGAGGAAACCTACTTACATGAACTAATCATAAACTATTTGGTGTACCCTCGGCTGCAGTTGAAGCTGCCTGGCTGCAGACGAGGCTGCAGACCATTGTGTACCTTCGGCTGCAGTCTTAAGTCTGCTGCCATGAACTAATTGGCTGCAGACTCGATGCTCCCTGCTGCAGATGAAGCTGCAGACTTAGTCGGGTCAGATTCGGTACGACATTATAGCTTTACCTCAGCTCATATTGGTATCAATAATTGATCACATGCAATTTTTCTCTCGTTTTCCTGTTTTTTCTATGATGGGGACGAAGAGATTTGCTAAATTATATTACCCCTTACAGATTTTTTTTTCTTTTGTTTTCAATGATTAAGGTTTCTGCTAGAACAATAAGTTCAATAAAAGTCTGATTAATAATTCATTCACTGAATCAGAAGTGAACAACATAGAAATACAAGGCCAAATATTTTCCTTTAGTTGAAACTGAAGAGGTATGGATGAAATCCGGCTCCCCTACTCTCCAGCTCTTTACTTAATTTCTCTCTTTGGGAGAAGAGAAAGTAGTTCATAAATCAGAGAAAAAGAAAGACCTCTTTTTAATGGAAAGTAATCCTCTTGGTGTTCAATTTCTATGACTGGAATGTGAATAGCATTATGATCAGATGATTTGCATGGAAAACAAAACCACATTTACCAGACCAGTTAGACAATTACTTGCCAAATCCATACCTCAACAAACCTGTCTGCATCTCTTTTGGCGTTATTGTCCTTAATTTAGGCTACTAGTCTGCATAGGCAGCATATACAAGACAAAGACCAGGTGCAAATGAAACTAGAGAAGAAAATTCTAATACAGAGGGAACTAGCATAGGATTAACCCGTCTTCTCCTTGCCACCCCTGTGCATTTGTGCACAGTACTCGAACAAGCTACCGTCAAAGCATCGTCTTACAGCTTCCTTAGACAGCATGCCCTCGTCATCCCTTGCAAGGACATATAGTAACCCCCACTCCAACTTGCTAGCAATCCTACATTTCCAAGCCATGATCAAATGTTAGAAGAAAGGTCTCCATGAGAAGGCTACTAATTTGAAATGGAAAACAATTGGGCACCGAGAAAACAAACCAGCCAAAGAAGTCATAAGCCTGTCGGTTCCCCTCAGTCATGTTCCAGATCTCTCTGAGTGTAAACTTGTCCGGTACTGTACGAGCATATTTGCTAAACATGTTTTCAATGTACACTGGAATAAACCTGCAACCCCGTTGCAAAATAAGAATGGTAGAACAAAGTTCATGTTCTATGAATTCAGTGATGAATACATCATGGCGGATTTATTGTCATCGATTTCCTTAATTTCCTTTGTCACAGAAACAAAACAGGGTGCACATGAACTTGACAACAAGACTTTTGTCAAATGTTGTTGCAGGAAAACAAAATGGTGCCTTGCTTAGTATACATGCTTATTTACCTCCCTTCGGTGTCGTAAGTGCCTGAGTCACTTCCATGCTTCGCTCTGTGTATGTTGTGAATATATACAGGGAAGAAAGGTGAAGGCAGCCACCCCTGCAAAAGGAGCATTGAATATTTTCATTGTCATACTCTATAAGCTTCTGTTTACTTCTTGCTCGAGCACACATTCTTTCTGAATTTAGATGCCATGTAATGTAAAAACTCCTCAAACAGGTTCTCTTTGTTATCTGTTCATTTAATTGCATAATTTAGCTTCATAATGAAGCATAAATTCCTTTATATAAAGCTAAATAGATGCATGATAAAGACATAAATATGCTAGCAGATGCGATACGGTCCATAATTGAGTGTAAAAGTAATATTGCTTTCCTTTTCACATTACTTTTCCACTTGCTTAGCTTTTTCTGTTTCCTCCTGATAACCCAGCCACAAATTTTTTCCATTCACAATCAGGTAAGAAACAAAGACATTGAAGCCACTGAAGATTTCCAATTCAACATTTGAGTTACAATCTGGAAACCCAACATGGTAGAGAAACAAGTTCCATAATCATAAGAGTAATAGTCAGCGAAGCAAACTTACTGGAAGTGTGACATAGCTCAATGCAACATTGATGGCAGCCGCTATGACAAGAGAGGCAATTGGATTGAAGCCAATGGCTCGCAGTCCTGTTTTAGAAATGAAATTATCATTTTAATTGGTCAGACAATTTTAGGGAAATGAAATTCGAGCGGCAGTTAGGTTGTTCACCAGTGAAAGTCTCCCAAGGGTAAACGATTCCGTTATCATCTTGGTCGAAAAATGCCACATGCTGCTGAAGGACACTCAATTGGTTATGCCTGCGGCCTGGTGTTCCATTTGGGTGTTCTGTATCCGGAGCCACCAAACCTCTGGCCATATCTGAGTGTAAATATACATATAAAACAGAGAAGTTAGCTTAATTTCTTTCAATACCATCGTAGATCTTTTATGCATCTACAAACCTAGTGCATGGTGGACAGCAAAATTAAAATCCCACAAAAATAATCGAATGGGGTAATTTAGAAACGAATAGCCTTTCCTGAAATTGGGGGCGGGGGTAGAACTTAGAAAAGTAATCTGATACCAAGAACTTACAAGGTTTCGGGAGCTTGTCTTCCAAGTCATTTCTGACTCTCCTCTCATAAGTCACAGGTGCAAAAGGAGCCTCACTTGCCAGTGCCTCATTTTCCATCCCGGAAGCCATTTCCCTTAATTTCTCACTGGGTTTTTTTTGTTTTCTTGTTATTCTTCTTTTGTGCGAAAAGGGCAGCTTAGCATCTGTTTATATAGTGATTTTCCTTGCGTGGCAGCCATGCAAGGGAGCTCGGTGGCCCACTGGCATGTGGCATAGACTTATGCTTGCCATGCCAATTCCTCTTTTCACCCCCAACATCTGGCATCTTCAGACAAATGGGTCCAATGAAGCTGTCGGCCATACGCTCACCAAGCAATTGAAATCAGCATCCAAATTTCCTTTTATTTATTTATTTTTTACATTTTCTAACTTTATTTTGTGCCCCTCTGGCTTATCAAGTAAGCAAGAAAGGATCAATTCCGAAAGTAACAGTACTAGTGACCCCGGGACAAAATTGAGGCACGTAACCCAAATAAATTCAACAAGTCTTATCCAAATGAATTTACAAGACTTGAATTTTACTCTGATTTATTAACAAATTAAATACTCAAATGTTTCATTTGAAAACTTTCATTAAAATAGAAGTTTGATTTGATATAATGGAAGTTGGAATAGGAACTTGACTACAATATATCTTGCCTCAACCTTCAAGAAATAATATAATATATGATACCTTAATTAACTATGTATAGAAATAATACATTAATATTGTTCGAATATAACTCTTTATATTGACAGAGTATATAATATATTAATATTACATCAAATATAAATATATATGTTTAAACTTTAAGAAAGTAAGTTTCAAATATGCACTTTTTATTTTTTATTTTTTGAAATCATAAGGATTCGAGAACTTTGTATAAGAAATAAAAATAATAATAATTGATATATTTTATTTTACTTGATAGTGATAGTATATCAAATATAAATTCATATATATATATATATACTTATTTTAATAAAAAATATTTTTAATTGATTAGTAATCAAAGTTTTACTTAAGTTCTAAACGTATCCAAGGAAAAAAAAAGCAGGATGAAACCACAAATGGGCCTTAAGACAAAGCCCGTCAGAAAAAGCCCATTGAAATATAACTCAACCTTGTGATAGTAATATTTTAAGCTGAAGCCTAAGGCTCATTAACAGCCCAAATCCCAAATCGACAAAAGAGAACCCAAATCTGAAGATTCATTCTCATTTTCTTTCCGCTTCCTATTCGAAGAGACAACAGGAAGTGAAAAGAAAAACAGGAGGAAAAACGTATGGCAAGTGAGGCGGCGATGGAAGTTAGCGCCCCAGCGGCTGCGGCAGTGGAAGCAGAGGTAGCGGCAACAGGTGCAGAGAAGCAGCCACATAAGCTTGAGAGAAAGTGGACGTTTTGGTTTGATAACCAATCGAAGCCCAAACAAGGCGCCGCTTGGGGTACCTCTCTGCGCAAAGTTTACACCTTTGACACCGTTGAAGAATTTTGGTGGTATTTTTATCAAAACTCCATTTCTCCATTTTGTCTATATTATTAAGATCTGTTAATTTTTTGCTGGTTTTGATTGATTATGATTGTATTTCTCGGCTCAGTGGATTGGGTTTGTTGTCGTTTAAAGAAGTTCTTTTCTATTTGGGTTTTCACTTTTCTTTGTTTGGTTGCTTTCTTTAGTTTCTGATGTGCTTCTGTTGTTTTTTTTTCTCTATGATTATTGATTTGTTGGAGATTTTGTTTGTTCAAAGAGGAAAGGGAATTTTGCTTTTTGTTTTGGTTCCTAAGAAATGGATTGTCATTGGAGGTTGTTGTTTTCTAGGATATGGTCATATCTGAATTGTTAGCATGACTTGAGTTCATCAAATTTGTCCATTTTTCTTATGATTTAGTTTATTGATATCTCCCCTCTGTAGCTTCAAGGGAACTTGAGTTTGTTTCTGTTATTTGCCTTGTTATTTTTTTTGTTTAATTTGAAATGTGAAACTCAAAATACTTTTGTTATGCTGCAGTTTGTATGATCAAATATTCAAGCCCAGCAAGTTGCCTGGAAATGCTGATTTCCACTTGTTTAAGGCTGGAATTGAGCCCAAATGGGAAGATCCTGAGTGTGCTAATGGAGGAAAGTGGTCTGTCACTGTCAACAGAAAGCCTATTCTTGATAACATGTGGCTTGAAACTGTAGGCTTCTTGTGTCCTGACTGTTATGTTTACAAATTTTTTCTTATCAATAGTAGATGCATAGTAGTTTGGCTGACTGAGCGGTTTTTGTTGGGCAGATGATGGCATTGATTGGGGAGCAATTTGATGAAGCAGATGAGATTTGTGGTGTAGTTGCTAGTGTACGCCAAAGGCAGGACAAGCTTGCATTGTGGACTAAGACAGCTACAAATGAGGCTGCCCAGGTCTAGATCTTAGTATTTATTCATACTTTGAAACAGAATCTATTTGTTTGTTGAATTAGGAATTCTGAGCCGTTTCTGAGTTAGTTTTATTGCTTGAGTTCTTATGGGTCATGAGTTTTTCTGCTATAATCTATCTTCAGTGATCACTCTAAGAAATTGCTTCAAGTTTATGTACATGGAATATTTGCTCATACTGTTAATGATGGTTCTACTGCTCCAATAAGTCAATACCATGTTCACTTCTATCTGATTGCTCAGTCAGTGCAGAAATTTTCTTTTAATATTTTTAATGGTCTAAGGCTTTTGTTGCAAAGATGGATTCATGCTTTCATTTGTAATGGAGAAGAAATGGAACTATATATCTAGGGGTACCCCTTTCATTTCATCCTTGATTAATTTATGAAGAATTAGACAAATATAGCATGATGGCAATTGACGCATTGTTGCAGTTGGGCATAGGGTTATCTTCTAGGGTTGATGTTTCCTCTCACATTTATAATATAGTTTCTGATCTCTCAATAGCTCATTTTTTTGGCAAGTAAACTATGTTTATAATTTTCTGTTTCTAAAAGAAAGAGTCCAGATCGCATTACCATCTTGTGTTGTTGGAATGCATAATTTGCAGAAGCACACTGAAGCTCTGGTTACTTAGTGTCATTTAGCCCATGCTTCTAATGATTGGTTGTGTCCGTTTAAAATTCTGTGAATGACATACTTATTGACGATGTTAATTGGAACCCTGTGATGTAGATGGGCATTGGGAGGAAGTGGAAGGAGATCATTGATGTCAATGATA